TACCCTTTTTATTCCTTCAGAAGTCAACATTCTTTCCACAACCAACTGGGAAAAGAAAAATAATATAGCTTCAATTATACTCATTTTCTACATGGAACATAAGGTATAATGAGGGCAGGATACAAATCAACACTGAAACTGATAACATATATTTACAAAGTGGATTAAAAATAATATGACCATAAAGATCAATTTTTTCCAGAAAACATTACACAAGTTAAATCTGAAGGTGGTTTAATTAGATTATTAGACTATTCCAATATCTCTTTTTTTTATCTCTTTCTAGTTTAGGAATCAGATGAACAGAAATCAAGGCCATCAAGAAACTAACCTGAGTTGCAATGCCGGCATGATCGGTTCCAGGAAGCCAAAGTGTTGGTCTTCCCCTCATGCGATGATACCTAACCATGATATCCTAAAAATGACCAAAAAAGGAGAAATATAACAGAAAAATAAGCATTGCAAGACCAATAGCAAAGCCAATAAAAATGAAAATAGTTGCAATGTCTAAAAAGTAAAGGTTAGAATCTATTGGAACTAGAAGGATCCTTTTATCTTTATATCTCATCCTCCTCCACATCTTCACCTTGTTGGACCAAATCACTAACCAATTGCGATTAAAAGTGTAAACTGTTTCAAACAGAAAACATTTTTCTGAGGGTAAGGAGTTACATTGGTCAGTGTAGGCTCAAATACGTTGAAATAAAATAAAATCATGCTATATGAAACATCTTTCGAAATTGAGATGCAACAGTTTCCCACTTAATTATCTAGACTCAAGTTCATAAATGAACTCGGAAAACCACAATGAGTCTTGTGTCAATAATGCCTGACAAATGCATCCTAAATGTTTGACACTGACAGTGGAATAAATAATAAAACTAAGTCCTCTCTGGAGCATCTTAAAATCATTTTCACAACCTCAAGAGTCACAAACATTGCATGTCCCATATGCAGAGAGCCAGTAACATTAGGAGGTGGCATTGATATGACAAATGGATCACTTCCCCGATCAAATTTCGGTCTGAAATAACCTTGAGACTGCCACCTGAGATCCAAGAGTTCCATAAATACTCTCCGCACAAATATATGTTAACAAAGTTTGCTGCAAGTATGAACATATAACCAGATCCAGATTCTATAAAAGGTGAATGCACATATGCAGCAGCATAAAAAGCATGCTTTCTGACAGTTAATTCAGAACAATTGCTAAAAACAGAATTTATAGACACAGTTTTCCCATGATAAAATATACAAGCCTAAGCTTACAAACATACATAATTGCAGAACTTGCATAAATGAAATATTTAAGATCAATAATTGGTCAAAATTTTAACCTGAAAAAAACGTGATCTAGTGTCATGCTACCTATATCGACAGAAAAAAGATCAAGCAAGCAAATAAGGGTGTCCCTTATTATTATGGAATTAACAACTAAAGTAAGAAAGTATGATGTATATATTGGATGGGAACCACTTACACGACTGTAAAACAAAATTAGTTTTACACACTTGCATAACTTTTATATGATTTATATTTGTTTAAGCCGAGAGTTATATTTCATATTTCATTCATGTAGATCATTATATACATGTATAGATGGGAAGGAATCCACTAACACTAGTGTAAACCTAAATTGGTTTCACACACTTGCATAATTTTATATGATTTATATTTGTTTAAGCTGAGAGTCATATTTCATATTTGTTCCTGTATATCATGCATGTTGATTTTTGAGTAAATCAAAATTATCAAACTATTTGTTCAATACAAAAAGCTTTCAACATTTTAAAACAAAGTCTCAAACGACATGATAAAAATATCAGGCCAATCCAAAACTCTAAGCCTAGTACTCTACTACAAGTACATTCATATTGATAAATCTAACAATTAGATTGTTATAATATTAATCATATTAAAAGTTATAAAAGTGTGTAAAACTAATTTATTTTTAAACTACTGTAAATGGATCTAGACCTGGGTTACTGGACAGGATACAAAAATAAAAAAACTATTTGTTCAATACAAAAAGCTTTCAACATTTTAAAACAAAGTCTCAAATGACAAGATAAAAATATCAGGCCAATCCAAAACTCTAAGTCTAGTACTCTACTACAAGTACATTCATATTGTTAAATCTAACAATCAGATTGTTATAATATTAATCATATTAAAAGTTATAAAAGTGTGTAAAACTAATTTATTTTTAAACTACTGTAAATGGATCTAGACCTGGAATACTGGACAGGATACAAAAGTAAAAAAAACTATTTGTTCAATACAAAATGCTTTCAACATTTTAAAACAAAGTCTTAAATGACAAGATAAAAATATCAGGCCAATCCAAAACTCTAAGTCTAGTACTCTACTACAAGTACATTCATATTGTTAAATCTAACAATCAGATTGTTATAATATTACTCATATTAAAAGTTATAAAAGTGTGTAAAACTAATTTATTTTTAAACTACTGTAAATGGATCTAGACCTGGAATACTGGACAGGATACAAAAATAAAAAAACTAAAGCACTATACAAACATGACACAAATAAAGGAACTATATTTATTCACTCTATCTCCCTCTCTCTCTCTCTTTACATTCACACGCACACACACAAATATAACACGTGTACCTGGCACATATGTGGACATGGAAAAAAGCTGAGCATATTAGTTTCAGGCATACACTCATATTTAACACTCATCTCAAGTCTAGGAAACATTGAGGTGTAACTTAAAGATAAATTAACTAAAATAGTCCCTTCCCTTACATTATACATTCATTCACTTTCGTTTTAATTTCAATTAAAAAAAACTTTTTATTTGGTATAAATATGAGTAGCAAACAACATGAAAACCTCAACATTCAATTAGAAAGAGGACTCATTAATAAAAAGAGAGAAAATAAATAGCAAACTACCACATTCAAGAAATAAATACCATTTGTATATCCTCTCCTCGGAAGTGAAATCAAACGACTTTGCCAACTCTGGAGAAGTGAAAATGCCATTCTCTGATGCAGCAACTGAAAATGCAACACGAAATTAAACTCATACCCAACTAAAAATGCACTCCCTACTAAATATTTTAGAAAGAATTCTCTTAATTTCTTTCATTACTACCGCTGAACTAATACTTTTATCACTTGTTACAAAATAAAATTTTCTTTAATTGAGAAGTAAACAATTAAGTATATGCAACAAACTTCAAACAAGATTTTACCCATTTAAAAAGTAAAAAAAAAGGCATTCCTTCATTAAAAAAAATAACTATTTTTCCTCATATCAGATTTTCACAGAAAATGCTCGACTTTTAAGTTCATTTTCTCGGGATGAATTTTTCTAAGACAAATAGCAATTGAATCGAGCAAGTATACGATTCAATTTAATTGTCCTCCATTCCTCGGCAGCCAAACAAGCAAAAAATAGAGAGATAGAAAACAAAGTAAAGAAAAATTTTAGTTGGGATATATTGACTTACCAGTAAAGCTCCGACGGTTTATGGAGGTGGAACGAGAGTGAGAAAGAGGGAAGCGAAAACGACTGCGTTTGGAGAAGAAAAGAGGGTTTAGATTGTAAGCAGAGCGAGAAGATAAGAGAAAAGGATGAGAGACGGCCATTTGGTGGAGACTCATCTCCTCAGAATTATTAAATTTCCTTCTCTCTTTTAAATGGTGGCGGGTTTTAGTTTTAGCTTTCTGATAAATGAGAGGGTGAAGGTTGATACTGGACATCTGGATTCTGGATATAATAGGGATATTTTATTAAAAAAAATACTATGTATTCTCATATTATATGATGAGAAAACGCCTTTTAATCGCGTTTCCTAGAGCTAGTTTAGTGCAGTTTTTGAGAAATTATTTTTAAAAGTGTTGTGAAAATGAATTTTTAAAGATACGTATAAAATTATAGTTTAAAATTTAATTATTTGAAATTATAGTTTAAAGGTAAATTTAAGTTATGTTATAAATTAAAAATATAACATTTAAATTATATTTATACTTATTAATACTTTGATAAATAAAATATATCAATTTAAATTATAATAAAAATATAAAAAATATTTTAACATAACTTATTAATAATATTTTTATATAAAAATATTTTATTAAAAAAATATGTAGACATAAAATTATTATAAAATAATAATTTAAATATTTGTTTTGACAAAAAGAATATTATAAAAAAATATTAGTAATTGAAATAAATTATTAAGTAATATATTATTTTTTAAGGATGTTAGTATTAAATTATTAAAATTAAATGTAAATACATAATTGAGTGAAACTTATGTTTACTAAGATAAAATTATAGTTTTATATTTTGCAATCAAAACGAACTTTTTATCTAAAATTACTTTTAGAAAGTCACGTCAAACAAGATCTTAATAAACTTAGTTCGATAAATTTCACATTGAATATTTTTTTTCAAATTATAATATTTTTTTAACATTAATTTGAAAAGAAAGTATTTATATGGTTTCAGCGAAAATGGCATCGTTAATGATGATATCCGACAGATAATCATATTCAAAATATAATGACATGAAAAAAAGTGGAGGCATAACATAATGGGTAAGACAGTGCACGACACCATTGATAGTTCTCCTGAACTAAAGCATTGGACACGAATGTGATTGTGAGAATCCATCCGAAACGAGATAGAAACGAAGCATTAGCATATTGGTGTGATGATTCTCCAACTGACCAATAACATTAGTGGAATCTATCTCCATAACAACATGAAGATAATCCAATTCAACTGCTAAATACGCCTCCATAACACCACCATCACGAAGCCCTTGTATTGGCCAGTAATCACCAGGTTTATTGATATAAATACGCCTCCATATCACTGCTTTCGATTAGAAATTTTCCCATTGTTGTGTGTGCATAAATCTGACAAGTTGTTTATGATGCCAGGTTGAGCTCAATTGATAAACTGAAAGCATGGGGGTTCACTCAAGATGCTACATGTCAAGAAGGGTAGCATTTCTTGTAAATATTATACATCCTTAGTCCTTACATCAAATTTTGGGGAGAAGGGTAGAAAGAATTAGCCCATTACTTTGGGACGCCAACCTGCAATTACATCATCGGGACTTGCACGTGTTTTGACGAACAACTCCATTGAGAAGATTGTCTGTACATGAGAAATTAAAATGATCAGGAGCATAGATCAACATATATATAACAAGCAAGAGCAAATAACTCAAATTTCACACTCAGATTTATATTTAATTCTGTCATCGAGCCCTGGTTCTCGTTTGGCCTCAAGGACTAAAAATAATTATCTGTGCACATATGAGCAGATTAAGATGTAAGCAGTAGAGACAAATAGTTGTCATCAGTTGCTCTCATACCTGCTTCCTCGTGCTGAAATTCTAGGCTAAAGACACAAGAAGAAAAATAAGTTGTTAGGAGCATAAACAGCTTACCTTCATGTAAGATTTTGTATAGGGAAGTGTATCCGGAACAGACCATTTCTTGTAATGCCCCAAAGCAATCCCAAGATGGTATAACTTTGGTGCGAGAGACAAGTCTGCTTCAGAAACCTTCTTCCCATTGATAAAAGGGCCCTTCAAGGGAAAGAATAAATCAATTAGGCACACCAGGTAACTTGTTGCAATGACCAAATTTAAACAAATATGTTATTTCTTGGACATCAACAATTCATCCCATCATCATAAAAAGCATAGCTATTGGCAAATCTTACTGCATTTAACGAACCAGATAAATCAGTAATTAGTGTTAAGATTATATTAATAAGGTATAAATTGTTCTGCCTAACCACAACCAATTGTTAAGTTTGAGCCATCCTGAGCAAATTAAGATAGAGGCCTCTCATTTTCTTGAATATAATCATTAAATGAGCTTAATTCATTCAGCAATGCCTGCTCTGTTCCATCACTGGGATCTTTGCTTTTAAGAAAACCAATAAATGTGGAGAAGATCTTCGAACCACTGCAGGAGAAATACAAAAGATATGCATAAATTATCAGTTGATAATTCGAGAAACTTAAAATGTTGTCACGGATGATGCTCAAAAACTGACATAATGTTCAAGCAATCATGAAAATATCATGACAAGTTTCTCAACTGAGGAAATAATGGCATCTCTGTCATTCCTATATATGCCAACTTATACAAATTTATACACCAATGGCTAATCAAAAGACTGACCATGAGGAAAGTTTTCACATTAATTCATCTAGCTAAATAAATGGTTCTCTGAACATAAGAAGCTTAGCCTTAAACATGATGAGACATGTTAACATTGTCTTTAAGGTCTTTAGAGTGAGCAGGCCAATCACTGAAAGCACAAAAAAAAAATAAAAATGGCCGAAGGCCAAGAAAATATCCAACCAACACATACGAAGCAACTGAACCCCCTTTTACCTTCCCATGGCTTAAAATATATCTTGAGGCTTATTCAAGATCTTCTGCAGTCTACCTCTAACTATTATCCTGTCAACTTTAATGTTAGAGATTCAGTTGCTGATGGAGTAGCCGAGGTTTCTGAAACTGTGCTTCAAGGTCTTTGTTTGATTAAGTTTTAAATGTTTAATCCAATAAGATGCAAGAGTAATAATTTGAAAAGAAAGCAAGATTAAAATACTACAGCAAGCACTGCAGCACATCACTCTTCACTCCACAGTTTATAACATCAGGGCGCAGGTGAGTGATCACGAAGACGTACACTGATGCCTTTTCTGGCGGGGTAACCAATGGTGGATCGGGATACTTCTCTTCCAGTGTCTGTGCAATTACATCAGAATCAGGAACCCACTTCTCATCAAACTTTGCTACTGGAACCTTCCCTTCAGGACTGATCTGTAAGAACCTGAATATGACCAATGCATTTGTTCAAATAGATTTCGTTATAAAGCTAACAAATCAGAAGGCAGCACAGTATGGTATACAGAGGTCGTCCGATGGATTTATTCGACGAATGAATACCATACAAATAATAGTCCAAAGAAATGACTTTTAGAAGCAATTACCATTCCGGCTTGTTTGCCAAATCGACCAATTTCATGTCATAAGAAAGATGCTTTTCTTCCATAGTCAGCAATACCCTTTGGCAAAAGGGGCCTGAACCATGCAACACACAAAACAGTCAATAAATTTTCCATCGCAGCCCCCGATCATACCATACTCACTTCTAGTGAATCAAATATTCCTATTTTGACATTACAAACATTTATTCCCAATTTTATTTCCCCTAATTGTTTTCAGAACAAAAGCAGAAATATTCAATATTTTATATAATATATTCGATTATTGAAATCTTTGGAATTAAGCAAGCGAAAAATAAAATACAGAAATTTTTTTTTCTCAAAACAAGTATAAGAAAGCAAGATTTTCACATTCTTCTTAATTTCAAACAAACGCAAGATTACAAGTAACAACAAGCAACACAAAACAAGAAGAACAAAATAAATTAACTTAATGAAGAACAAATTTAGGATCAGTATCGGTACTGTTTGAAGAGGTACCGATACTAAAAGGGGTATCGATACCAAGGGTAAGGTATCGATACCATTTTTAAGATGAAATTCTAGTATGTCAAAATGGTATCGGTATCGAAGGAGGTATCGATACCATAGAAGGGAAGTATCAGTACTGTAGTGGGAGTACCGATACTACTAAGCATGAAATGAGAAATTAAGTGTTTATTTCAGCTTAAGTTATTATGATTGGATATAAGTGATTCTAATTCCGATATTTATTTTCGATTGTTTTGTGTAGACGTTGAACGAAATCAACTTCCGGTCAACTCGACGTTATAAGTTTCGATCAAAAGTGTTAAGTACTTCAGTGAGGCAAAGGTGAGTGCAACTTCTTGGTTTCGTATTAGAATTGAGGAAGGCTTGCGATAAGCCAACCTCATTGTTTTCAATCGAAAACCTTTCAATTTATTTTATGTTATATTTTTACAATATTTTATTCAATTTATATTATGTAAGCTATGTTTTATGATTATGTGTATATGATTATGGAAATGTGACCTGTGAAATGTGTATCCGAAAATACTCAATATGAAAATGCCTATGTGAATAAGAGATACTTCGAATAATGAATGACAAATAATTATGTGGTTATTAGCCCAAGGTATATGTATGAGGATTAAAGGTATATTGGTATGCCAAGAGTCGAGGGTTCTATGTGGTCCTTCGGGACAAAATTATATGGTCCTTCGGGACAAACCTATGTGGTCATTCGTGACAAACTTATGTGGTCCTTCGGGACAATTATGTGGTACTTCGGTGCAAATTACGAGCTGTGGTGACAACATTAGTGCATACCTCAATGTACTCAAATACATAGATTTCTCAGTAGTATACGTTGGGCATTTGGAAACAAAGTTATAAAACGACTAATGTATAACAACATACATTCTTGTTATGGAAAACCATTCGAAATCCTTATGGAATATTTTTATGAAATAAATAAAGATTTTGCTTATATAACTTTAGTTACTCGCAATTGCCTCACTAAGTCATTGACTTAGCGTGTGATTATTTCACATGTAGATTTGAAGAAATCAGAAGAGTAAAGCTAGGCGAGGATAGCGTACTCCCTTGAAGATCAGATCAAGACAAATTGAATGTAGGTTTTCTGTAATTTTGTAAATTGTTGGCATGTATTACACGTTTAATTTGAAATGCTCTGGTCTATTTTTGTAAACTCATACTTTTGTATTTATGTAAATTATTAAAGGCTTTTATTAAGTAATAATGTGTGATTTATATTTTTTTTTAAGTTAAAGAGTTCACCTTGTTAATATAAATAAAAGTTAAATTTTCTTTATTTGTTATGAATCAATGTTTTGAAAAGTCAATGTGACACCTTGGATTCGTATTCGGGTCGGGTACGAGTTAGGGGTGTTACATTTAATGGTATCAAATCTATGGTTTAATTGGTTTTAAGTTCAAAATAAAGTCAATTTTGTTTAAAAAACATGCATGCCAACTTTTAGTTAAGTCTTTCTGATCCGATAAGGTAACTAGTATGCTATTGTACTAATATATTAGTGAATTGATCTAATTAGATGTCAGATTTTGAGGGCTCCCGAAGTGAAGCAAGAGATAGAAATGAAGGAAGTAGCAACTCACCTGCCCGAGCAGGCAGGGTGAGGAAAATGCACATCAGGGAATGCCTATACAAGATCAGGGAATCTTCTTCCATAAGTTGGACGCGATTCTGACGCGTTTCCAACCATCAGCTCCCTCAGCCCCTAAAATGAATGTGGCTAAAAAGCCTAGGAGCCTAGGAGCGCCTAAATTTAAAGGAGAAGGTGAGGAAGGTCTAGTTGCTGTCGATATGTAGCTCAATGACCTTAAGATAATGTTGGAGAATCTCCATTGTTCTAAAATAGAGAAACTGGATGGTGTAGTTTCATTACTAAGAGGTCAAGCCAAAATTTGGTGGTCTAATGTGACGATGAGAGCTACAAGGGATCATGTGATGTGGTCATTCTTTCTGGAAGAGTTTAAGAACAAATACATCGGGGATCAGTTCATTCATCAGATAAAGCAAGAACTCATGAGTTTAAAGTAAGGGAATCGCACTGTATATGAGTTTGAGTGCGAATTCAACAAGCTAAGTAGATTTGCAACGGAGTTGATCCCTACGGAAAAAAACTCATGTGATTGGTTTCTGGAGGGTTTATGCCCTTGATTGAAAGAATTATATTGGCACTTAATCTCTCTTCATTAAAAGAGGTAGCGAACAGAGCCAAAGCCTGGAGTAAACTCAAATGAGAGGTTTATGGAGCAAATGACATAATGGAATAAGAGAGTTGGTGCCTCGTCCAATGCCTTTCAAGCAAAGAAGGGTCGAGGTTCAAGTTTTTGGCCTCAAACCAGAGCAGAGTCAGCTACATCCTCGGGTAGAGGATCAAATCCTAGAAGAACCAGACAAACTCACTTAGTGGAGTCCGAAGTGGATAAGCCAAATCAATGTCAACAATGTGGAAAATCTCATAGTAGAGTGTGCATAATAGTCTCTGGAGCTTATTTTAAATACAGAGAAGTAGGACACTTTATTTGAGACTGCCCATTGATGACGGGAGAACTTGCCCAAACAGAAAGATCCACTGTTGCACTGATGAGAGGTAGAGGTCAAGGTAGAGAAAGTAATCAGTCCGAGTCGACCACTGAACCTGAAGTGAACTCCACCGCTCGAGTGTATAATTAAAGACCAGTGAAGATTGTGATGCTCCTGAAATCATTGCAGGTACTTTTCAGATAACTAGTAAATTTGTTTTAGTTTTGATTGATCCGAGATCGAATTATTCTTATGTTAGTAGTAAGCTGGTGAAAGACTTGAGAATTTTGTTAGAACCTATTCGTAGTGAGTTGATCGTGACAAATCTATTAGTACATAGTGCTCGGGTGAGACAAATCTGTCGAGGGTGTCTTATATGGATTCAGGGAATTGAATTCCTTGTTAATCTAATGGAATTACTCTTTGATGAGTTTGAGGTTATCCTAGGTATAAATTTGCTCTATCATTATCACGCCACTGTGGATTATAGACTTGAGTGAGTTATGTTGAAAAGTCTTGATGGATTGGAAGTTGGTGTAGTCATCAAGAGAATCAATCCCTTAGCTAATGTGATATCAATAATGTCGGCTCGGAAGTTAATGCTACAAGGATGCCAAGCTTATATCGCCAATGTGATCGATGCTAGAGCTAAAGAAAGAAAGTTTGATGAGATTTCGACAGTCAAAGAGTTTTCAAAAGTATTTCTAGAAGAATTACCTAGTTTACCTCCAGATAGAGAGGTTGAATTTTAGATTGAAATGATGTCAGGATCAACACCGATTTCAATGGCTCCTTACATGATGGCCCCAAAGGAATTGAAAGAGTTAAAGATTCAGTTACAGGAGCTTTTAGATAAGGGATTTATCAGACCCGGTGTGTCACCTTGGGGTGCTTCAATATTATTCGTAAAGAAGAAAGACGGTTTGATGCGCCTTTGTATTGATTATCGTCAACTCAACAAGGTGACCATAAAGAATAAGTATCATCTTCCAAGGATTGACGATTTATTAGATCAACTCAAAGGAGCTGCAGTGTTTTCTAAAATCAATTTACGCTCAGGGTATCATCAGTTGAAGATACAAGAAAAAGATGTTCCAAAAACAACGTTTAGGACTCGGTATGGTCACTACGAATTTGTAGTAATGCTATTTGGGTTAACTAACACACCTGTAGTTTTTATGGACCTTATGAATAGAGTTTTCCAACCATAAATTGATCAGTTCATGGCTATTTTCATTGATGATATTTTAGTGTATTCAAAGTCAATGGAGGAGCATGATGCTCATCTTCATGTGATTCTTCAAACATTGCAAAACAAGAAGCTTTATACAAAGTTCTCTAAGTGTGAGTTTAGGTTATCTGAAGTGACCTTCCTTGGACACGTGGTTTCTGTAGAGGGAATTCGGGTAGATCCTCAGAAGGTTAAAGCTGTGTTATAGTAGGGAATTTCGAATAATGTGTCAGAAGTTCATAGTTTCTTGGGTTTCACAGGTTATTATCGAAGGTTTGTCAAGAACTTTGTGATGATATCTCTGCCTTTAACCAAATTGTTAAGAAAAGATGTGTAAGGCCCATAACCCGTATAATTATACCTATACAGATTATCTATGTCACTCGAATTTCTAAAATCATTTTCATTTCAAAACTTGATTTAAAATTTAATTTCTTAAAATGGTAACTGATATTATAAAAATATCAGATCGTATAATTTATATTTCGTTATAAACAAATTTAATTCAAAGGATTTTTTATGAATAGTGAATAATAACCGTGAACAGTAACCGTAAACAGTTGGGGAATCAGTTCCTGTAGCAGGGAAATTGGTTCCCCTTAAGCATTCTGTAAACATTTTCTAAAATGTGGTTATTGTTCATTGCTACAATAACTGCTACAGTAACTTCTGAAATTACATAAAAATTAACCTTTCATCACTATAAAAATTTCCAAAATTTATTCAACAAAATAAATTGAACATTTTTAATTACATGTCACTATCTAAATCAAATTCCATCATAGGATGTCTTACTGATGTTGAAATATACCTCTCGTTGCTTGATGTCATTCCGA